TTGGAGCCTTGAGTCTGTGCAGTAGTGATTCATTTGGAGCCTCGAGTCTGTGCAGTAGTGATTCATTTGGAGCTCGAATCTGTGCAGTACTGATTCATTTGGAGCCCGAATCTGTGCAGTAGTGATTCATTTGGAGCCTTGAGTCTGTGCAGTAGTGATTCATTTGGAGCCTCGAGTCTGTGCAGTAGTGATTCATTTGGAGCTCGAATCTGTGCAGTACTGATTCATTTGGAGCCCGAATCTGTGCAGTAGTGATTCATTTGGAGCCTTGAGTCTGTGCAGTAGTGATTCATTTGGAGCCTCGAGTCTGTGCAGTAGTGATTCATTTGGAGCTCGAATCTGTGCAGTACTGATTCATTTGGAGCCCGAATCTGTGCAGTAGTGATTCATTTGGAGCCTTGAGTCTGTGCAGTAGTGATTCATTTGGAGCCTCGAGTCTGTGCAGTAGTGATTCATTTGGAGCTCGAATCTGTGCAGTACTGATTCATTTGGAGCCCGAATCTGTGCAGTAGTGATTCATTTGGAGCCTTGAGTCTGTGCAGTAGTGATTCATTTGGAGCCTCGAGTCTGTGCAGTAGTGATTCATTTGGAGCTCGAATCTGTGCAGTACTGATTCATTTGGAGCCCGAATCTGTGCAGTAGTGATTCATTTGGAGCCTTGAGTCTGTGCAGTAGTGATTCATTTGGAGCCTCGAGTCTGTGCAGTAGTGATTCATTTGGAGCTCGAATCTGTGCAGTACTGATTCATTTGGAGCCCGAATCTGTGCAGTAGTGATTCATTTGGAGCCTTGAGTCTGTGCAGTAGTGATTCATTTGGAGCCTCGAGTCTGTGCAGTAGTGATTCATTTGGAGCTCGAATCTGTGCAGTACTGATTCATTTGGAGCCCGAATCTGTGCAGTAGTGATTCATTTGGAGCCTTGAGTCTGTGCAGTAGTGATTCATTTGGAGCCTCGAGTCTGTGCAGTAGTGATTCATTTGGAGCTCGAATCTGTGCAGTACTGATTCATTTGGAGCCCGAATCTGTGCAGTAGTGATTCATTTGGAGCCTTGAGTCTGTGCAGTAGTGATTCATTTGGAGCCTCGAGTCTGTGCAGTAGTGATTCATTTGGAGCTCGAATCTGTGCAGTACTGATTCATTTGGAGCCCGAATCTGTGCAGTAGTGATTCATTTGGAGCCTTGAGTCTGTGCAGTAGTGATTCATTTGGAGCCTCGAGTCTGTGCAGTAGTGATTCATTTGGAGCTCGAATCTGTGCAGTACTGATTCATTTGGAGCCCGAATCTGTGCAGTAGTGATTCATTTGGAGCCTTGAGTCTGTGCAGTAGTGATTCATTTGGAGCCTCGAGTCTGTGCAGTAGTGATTCATTTGGAGCTCGAATCTGTGCAGTACTGATTCATTTGGAGCCCGAATCTGTGCAGTAGTGATTCATTTGGAGCCTTGAGTCTGTGCAGTAGTGATTCATTTGGAGCCTCGAGTCTGTGCAGTAGTGATTCATTTGGAGCTCGAATCTGTGCAGTACTGATTCATTTGGAGCCCGAATCTGTGCAGTAGTGATTCATTTGGAGCCTTGAGTCTGTGCAGTAGTGGTTCATTTGGAGCTTGAATCTGTGCAGTACTGATTCATTTGGAGCACGAATCTGTGCAGTAGTGATTCATTTGGAGCCTTGAGTCTGTGCAGTAGTGATTCATTTGGAGCCCGAGTCTGTGCAGTAGTGATTAATTTGGAGCCCGAGTCTGTGCAGTAGTGATTAATTTGGAGCCCGAGTCTGTGCAGTAGTGATTAATTTGGAGCCCGAGTCTGTGCAGTAGTGATTAATTTGGAGCCCGAGTCTGTGCAGTAGTGATTAATTTGGAGCCCGAGTCTGTGCAGTAGTGATTCATTTGGAGCTCGAGTCTGCGCTGTAGTGATTCATTTGGAGCTCGAGTCTGTCTGTAGTGATTCATTTGGAGCCCAAGTCTGTGCAGTAGGGATCCATTTGGAGCTCGAGAATGCGCTGTAGTGATTAATTTGGAGCCCGAGTCTGTGCAGTAGTGATTCATTTAGAGCTTGAGTCTGCGCAGTAGTGATTCAAAAAAATGTTTGCGTCCAGCTTCCTCTGAAATAACAGCATGAACGTTCAACTGAACATTTCATGTGATGTTTTCCACTGAATAAGTATGGGTTTAAAACGAATAATTTTGCCTGAATTGTACCTTTTAAGTTCAAGCATATTGATTCATGATTTTCAGATGTTTGATTTAGTTTCCAGTGAGATCAATGACACTCTTTCAGGGCTCCATTTCTAACTTTCAAAGTCATCATGAAATCATAATTCATGTTGCTTATTGTGAATGATCCATCAATGCATGTTATTCTAAAGGAGAAACAAAAATGTGTTACTTAAAATTAATTTGAACTCAAATGAAATATAAAAAAATCTATAAAAAAATTTAAACTTATTTTATTTCAACTAGTTTTATTTCTTATTTTAGTTTAAAGTACTAAAATAACTAAAGCTAAATAAACTAAAACTAAATACTATATAGACAAAAACCACAACAAAACTACTAAAACTTTACAATTAAAGTGAAAACAGAAAATCTAATGATATTAAAATAACACTGGTTTCATCAAAATGTAAAACACAGAACAGTTAGCGTGTTCTGCTCAAACTTTCATCATGGCAGAAAAAGGCTTCCCAAAACACGTTTGCTTGGTTGGTAGACGCACCGGGGACCTGATTATAGCACTTACAACCTTTAATGTACAGTCATGACAAGAATTCAAAAGTTTTGGCAGTGACATAAATTTTGTGTTTTGCAAAGTTTGCTACTTATCTAGTTTTTGTAGATTATTTTTCCACATGTTTCTATAATATACTGAAAAATAATGATAAGCATATCATAAGTTTTAAAGGGGTCATATGATGTTTTTTTAAAGATCATTATTTTGTGTATTTGGTGTAACAGAATATGTTGACATGCTTTAATGTTCAAAAAACACATTATTTTTCAAATACTGTACATTATTGTAGGTCCTCTATGCCCCACTTAAGACAGCTGACTCCACTGTGATGTGTCTCTCTCTCTCTCTCTCTCTCTCTCTCGCGTGCGCGCACGCATGCACGCACGCACGCACGCACGCACACACACACAGCTCTTTCTCTCTCTCTCTCTCTAACACACACACACACACACACACACACACACACAAACACACACGATGTGCAAAACTCCACATTTGAACAGTCCCTTGTTCTTCATAACCTCTGCAATTCGCTCTGGCATGCTGGATATTAGCTTCTGGGCCAAATCCTGCCTGATGGCGATCCATTCTTGCCTTATTAGTTCTCGGAGTTGATCACAATATGTGGGCTTCTGCTTGTCCACTCGCCTTTTGAGGACTGACCACAGGTTCTCTATGGGATTGAGATCCGGGGAGTTGGCTGGCCACAGATCCAAAATTTCAATGTAATGTTCTTCGAGCCACTTCTTTATCACTCTTGCTTTGTGACACGGTGCTGGAAGATGCACGGATCATCACCAAACTGCTCATGGATCGTTGGAAGAAGTCGCTCTTGCAGGACGTTTTGATACCATTCTTTATTCATGGCAGTGTTTTTGGGAAGAATTATGAGACAACACTCCCTTAGTTGAAAAGCAACCCCACACATGGATGGTCTCAGGATGCAACAATCGATTTTCCAGATGTCCCAAACCGTCGGAAGGGAGCTTCATCAGAGAAAATAACTTTGCACCAGACTTCTGCTGTCCAATCCAGAATTTCAGTCTGTCCTTGAGGTTTTTCTCGAAGAGAAGTGGCTTCTTTGCTGCCCTTCTTGACACCAGGCCGTTGCCCAAAAGTCTTGGCCTCACTGTGTGTGCAGATGCTCTCACACCAACCTGCTGCCATTCCTGAGCAAGCTCTGCACTGCTGGAGACACGATTCTGTAGCTGACTCCTCAGGAGGAGACGGTCCTGGCACTTGCTGGACACTCTGGGACGTCCTGAAGACTTCTTCACTGCAGTCCAACCTCTCTCCTTGAAGTTCTTGATCCGGTAAATGGTTCTTTCAGGTGCAATATTCTTTGTAGCAGTTTCCTTGCATGTGAGGCCAGTTTGATGCAAAGCCATGATGGCTGCACGTGTTTCTTTGGAGGTAACCATTGCTAAGAAGAACACGATGATTGGAAGCACTTCTTCCCTCCTTTTATAGCAATCAGTCTGCTCTTACCATCTAATTAGTATGATAGTGATTTCCCCTGACTAGTACTCATCCACACTTTCACATGTGCTGCTGATATGATTAGTCAATTAATGTTAGCTGGTCATTTTGTGTCAGGATCAAAAAACTTTTTTTTGTGAATGAAGCTTTTAGCAATTATTTAAAATGCATCTGATCACTCTACACAATAATCTAGAAACGGTGTGAAGGAACACCACAACAGCTTATGCAGCAAACTTTGCAAAACACAAAATCTGTCACTGCCAAAACTTTTGGCTATGACTGTAAGGCCGCATAGTTAGGGAACAGGAATCTTAAAGTCTTCATGAAACGGAAGTAGTGACAAAACATTTCTTTATCCGTATTTTCATGTACATCCAAGTGTATTGGCTTATCAAAAAAATAAAAAATGTCGGGTGGGGCCTGGTTCTATGAATTGGTTTTTGATTGGATGTTGAGATGTGGGCGTGGCTCTCAGAGCTTGCAAGGGCGGAGCTTAAGTGCATTTAATGATTGGTGAAATCCTGCATACGTCAGCAGAGAGAAGATCCAGTTATGATATTCTGATTTAACATTACCAGCTCAAAACATAAATTAATTTTTTTTAACCTGCACGGATTAAATGTTAGAAAATAGACTGAATTCTGAGTTCACGCTGACTTCGAGCAGTAATATTATAGCTGAAGTTATTTCCCACTGAATATTCTTTTTCACTTTCACAGAAGTTAAATGCCGTGACTCGTGCATTTCAAAACGCTGGATGTCATTCGTTGAAAACTGATCAAGTTTTTCTACCTGTTGTTTCCCTGTAAGGACGGCAGCTGCATGTGTGTCTGAAGGGTCTGTGGACCGGCTGGGATCTGCATCGCACTCTGGTTTAGTGTGAAGACTTATACATTGACAGAAGACAAAACAGAAAATCATCACTCTTGAGTCAAACGGTGGTAAGATTAGATGCCATTAGCCATCACTACAATGAAAAAAGAAATGAAATAACCAAAATATACTGAAAGTTTACACAATGCATTTTTTGCATTACACTGCACTGCTTTTCCAGAGTTTTTCTATTTAAATATGCACTGGACGGACTCGGTGTTTGCATCTTTTGCAATGTCTCACACCGTTTTAAAATTAGTTTTTTTTCATGTCAAAAGGCAAAACAAAAGTGAATGGGGTAAAAAAAAAATCACTATTAGATTTCACCATACTTCCCCAATTAAAGGATTGCAAAGTTTTCTGAAATGTTATGTTTAAATATGCAAACGAGGCATTATCTAATTAAATATGCACTAATTTGCATGCATTTCCAGAACAGAAATCTGAACATTGGATGAAGCCAGATTCAAAATAGTTTGATTTTGTTGAGATATTAGAGTTTGGATTTCTCTTTTTATCACTCCATAAATCAGAAAATACTGCCAACAGACAGAAAACACATTTTCACCATGTTTTTAGGAGTAAAATGTCGTTTAAATCAGTGTGAATGAAATATGAACAAACCTTCAGAATATAGAGAGGAATCAAACTGTAAAATCTGATGTGTGCCAGAAAAAAAAAACTCTTTGAAGATATGGATTGGAATTGAAACCTACAGACGCAAATAGATAAAGTGCGATAAAAGAAACACTTAAATGTGTATCTGGGGTGTTTTCTTTCCACTAGTCTGAAAGAAGAGACATGATATAGAGCAAAACTTATAGCAGAACGCAAAAATGCTGTGTGAACGGCCTCTTACTCTGTTATTCTAACTCATATATAAGTATTAATAAGTGTTTCGTACCAGTGTAGAGATCATCAATGGGCGACTGGTGCTTGGTCAACCTTCAGAATATAGAGAGGAATCAAACTGTAAAATCTGATGTGTGCCAGAAAAAAAAAACTCTTTGAAGATATGGATTGGAATTGAAACCTACAGACGCAAATAGATAAAGTGCGATAAAAGAAACACTTAAATGTGTATCTGGGGTGTTTTCTTTCCACTAGTCTGAAAGAAGAGACACGAAATGGAGCAAAACTTATAGCAGAACGCAAAAATGCTGTGTGAACGGCCTCTTACTCTGTTATTCTAACTCATATATAAGTATTAATAAGTGTTTCGTACCAGTGTAGAGATCATCAATGGGCGACTGGTGCTTGGTCTCAATCAGGTCCAGTGGCACGAGGCTGTGCTGCAGCGGCTGAACTGTCAAACACTCGGTGAGTCCGTCCTGACTGAGATCTGTGCTGCGTCTCAACTACATCACATCAAACACAAAATCAACATGACCTGCATTCACAACTGTTTCTGAGGGATTGAGGGTGGATTTTAGGGTAACACTTCACTTAAAGCATTTATATACAGTATAATGCATTATAGAAGTAGAAAGCATTATAGAAGCACCTTATAATGCATTGTATGACCTCATGAATAATTGTAAGCACAGTTATAATACATTATAATACTTATCTATTCATTGTTACATGTTTAGAAAGTACAATGCATTAAAATGCATGACAAAAAAACCTTCAAATATTATAATGCATTTTATATTTGGTTACAATTATTTATGAATGCATTACAACATGCATTATGAATACTTTTATAAAGCATTATACATAAATGCTTTAAGTGTTAATGATTGTATCAATGAGAAACTTATTGGACTGTAAAAATTGCCCATAAAGTATATTTTTGTGAAGTTGTAATTAGATTATTAGAGTACATTTTACAAGAAAATTATATTTCTACCTAAAAATTCCACATTTAATTCTGTTACTTGTTTCTGATTACTTATTTCTGAATTCTGATGACTCTTTGCATGTAATTATTTGTGAAATTTAAATGTAATTTCTGAGTGAAAACTGTTTCGAAGTAAATCCTACACCATTTTATTTACTGTAGAATTATGGAGAACCTGAATTTTATGCTGAAACTAAGTGTAAATACCTATTTTGTTGCTTAGATGCTGAAATGGATAGTCATTTCGGTTATGATTTGAGAAAAAAATGATAAATCATATTTGGAATAAATCGTTCACAATAAGACCAAAAAAGAAAATGACGTCCGATTTGATTTCATGTTGATTTAAGACTGCATTTACTTTCCAAACGAGTTTAAAGCAAATAGATGACAACAAGTGGAGATAATGGCTCGGATAATCGGCTCCTAATCTTTTGCTTAATCGAGCGGAATATGCTGTAATTAATCATGAGCATATGGTTTGATATCACAGCTTAAAATATCGCAGCGTTTGGAGCTGTCGACCTGCGTGATTATATTTAGCGTGTCTAAGAATACAGTATATTCTGAGTAATTCATAATAATCATAGATGAGAATGAAATGAATGTATACACACTGGACAGATCGTGAACAAGCAGAGGCGCAGGTTGATGTGCTGCACTATTTTCTCTCTCCTAGAAACATCTACCTGAGGAATCTGTATCTATGGTGACGTGACCTTTATTTGGTTCCTCCGTGATAATGAACGGATCCTACACAAGGCTGCTAACAAGTTACAAGTTTAGAGACTTATCTAAACACTGTTATCAACACCCCTCTTGACAAATGTTAGGTATTTTGTGTCACAAACGCACAACTCTGTGTTCGTTCTTTGTGAGACAGTGCTTGTGTTGTGCAATCCTTTACACAAAAACCTTCTTGTCTTTCCAAACCTATATGCTTTTATTTTTTTGTCTGTGGAACACAAAAGGATTTTTGTTTACGTACAAACATGTGAAAACTCGAAGGACAAAAAAACACCATAGTAAAAGAAGTCTCTTCTGCTCACCAAGGTTGCATTTATTTGGTTAAAAATACAGTAAAAATTGTGAAACATTTTTTTTAATTAAATTTATTCCTGTGATGCGCAGCTGTATTTTCAGCATCATTACTCCAGTCTTCAGTGTCACATGATAGCATATATTCACATAGAAAGCAGCTATTTTAAATAATAATGCAGCCTTGGTGAGCAGAAGACTTCTTTAAAGAGGTCATATGATTTTGGTGTAATGAAATGTGTTTATGCGGTTTAAGGTTAAAAAAAACATTTATCTTAGTCATTCCAAACGTTTGACCGTTAGTGCACCACTTTTGAAGTCAAATAATAGAAAATGAAGCAAATTTTTGTGGTGCATGAAAAAATAGATCAGCATCAGAGTTTGGAATGACATGAGGATGAATAACTATAAGTGTTTTGGTGATTCTCGTACCTTCTTCCGGGCTTGTTGCTCCTTTAAGGAGTGCGATTTGACGTGTTTGCGCAGAGAGCTGGGGTCCGTGTAGCGTTTGGCGCAGCCCTGGATCTGACATGCGTAGGGTTTCTGCAGAGACACAACCTGTTAGTGCACACGTCTCTGCCTGGTGTTTGCAGGTGTATTGCGCGGAAAGACTCTGAAAACAGTCTCGCGTGACAGTTTTATGAGCAGGGTTCCTACGTGGTTTGGAAAAGTATGAAATTTGATTTAAGTAATTGCCAGGTCTGGAAAAGTATGGAAAAAAGAAAGCAGAGTATGGAAAAATATTTGCATTTCCAGATTTTTGCCCTCATTTAGTTTTTTATAAAGGAAATTAAGAATTTAATTTAAAGTTTATCATACAAGAAGTGTTTTCATGGCAGCTGTTTAGTGATTCTTTAGTGATTAGCCTCGAGGACCTTTGCAAAAATAAAAAAATATACAGACTTTTATCTGCACGAGAAACCATTAAACTTGGCATATAGGACAATGCACACTGAACCTATCAGCCCATTTAGCAGTGTGGTGTCTTGGCCGCCACTTAACATGCGTTAAAGAGACCTAAAGCCCTAACGAAAGCCACATTTTGAACACTTTTGTTTTTAATGGACCCTTGAACTTGGCAAATAGGACAATGCACATTTTCTGCTGCTTCAGAGGATGTGCTAAATTGGACATTAGTCCTTGATATTAGAGGTACCACAAGGAAAGCCAAATTTTGAGCTCTATTAATTCATGTGCATTCATGCTCTCACTTTATTCAGAGTTAGTTGGCAGTGATGCACAAAGGAAATAGGTTATATAAAGCTAGAAATTGCAATGCGTAACCATGTGAAAAATTCCCATGCGCATGTGAATAGTTTCTCGAGAGCACAAGAAAAGTTTCTTGTGTGCATGCAAAAGTCACTTAGAGAAAATCAATGTAAAAAAAATATTTAGAGATGATATTTGAGAAGCTGAAAATAGTGCTTTATGAACCATGTATGTTAAATATGGTCCAAAAATCTACTGAGAGGTTTGGAAATTTGAGTCTGGAAAAGTATGGAATTTTGAAATGGAAAATGTGTAGGAACCCTGCATGAGGTTTTCGGGCTCCGCTCACCATGTCGATGTGTGTTCGCTGGTGTTTGGCTCTATCGCTGGAGTTGCTGAAGGCTTTCTGACACCCGGGGTGTTGACACACGTAGGGTTTCTCGCCCGTGTGGCTCCTCAGATGGATTTTCAGGTTCTCCAGGCGGGAAAACGCCTTCTGACAGCCCTCAAACTGAAGTTAGAGTTAAGAATACAATACAAAAAAAGGTTAGATGTGTCACATTGAACAGTTAAACACTCTCTCTGGACAACATGACACAGATCGACCAGGAGGGGTCAGTGTTTTGCTGCTCAAATGACCAGTTTACGTCTCATTCAATGCCATCACACGCTCTAATTACTGTGCACTGATTGTAAATGAACTGGGCCAATGCATAACTCTGGAGACTTTGATGCAGTTTCACTCAAATTTCACTCTTGGCTTTCACGGTCCCTCTGCTTATTCTGTGCAGTCTTCATTAGATTAAACCAACACTATTCTCTGTGCAATTATTGTTATTGAATAAGCTAATTAAAATGGAAAAAATGTAGGAACAATAGTAGGCGACGTGTTTTCATCCGTTCTCCTGGATGATGATCTCAGCGCTCAGCCGCTCGTGCGACACGCTTAACGAGGCCTCATAGTTTCACGCTCAGTCATAGTTTTCAGGAATGTGTCTAAAGGTGTATAATAGTTAATTCTTGACAATGATGCCATTTTAGATGAGCATTTTCTGAGTAAAACCATCATCACAGGGGAGATGATATTAGGCAACCATAAGCTGTTGCCCTATATGGCCTATATAATGACTATATCATCAAATGATCATAAAACACAGATAAACATATCAAAATATCATAATGCATATTGTTGTAATATTGATATACATAGTGTTGTGATGTTACAGTTTTGCTGTGCAATAAATATATTTCGCCATTATGCATAACATATAAATATTGTTTTATATATAATATATAAAATATTTATAATATTTTTATATTTCATATTATATATAAATATTTTTTATGTGTATGCATATTTATGTGTGTGTATATATATGTATATATTGTTTATTATGTAAATAATGTTTTTGTATATATAAATAGTAATATTATATTAATCTATATGTAATTATAATATTACTATATATATTATATATCAGAAACGTTTATATACTTTGTATATACGCATTGTAATAATAGTCAAATAATAGATATATACACAAATATACATACACACACACATATATATATATATGTGTGTGTGTGTGTGTATTTGTGTGTGTATGTATTTTAATGTGTTTTAATTAATCTAATTAATTATGAAAATAACACAATATAATAATATTAATATTGTATTATATTTTAGACACAATATTGGGTTTTGTTCAATTTTGCCAACAAAAATATTACCTATAAATCCACATCAGAACTGTTGTGTGTCACCGAGCAACACAGCGGTGTTTCATGAATGAATCGGAATTTGGAACGAATCATTTGATTTAATTATTCAATGACCCATTCATGAAGAAAGCCATTTACTTCATTACTTAATTCCATATTAATAAATAAAAAAACGAATTAAAGGGAAAGTTCACAAAACAAAAGCTACTTTTTGTAAAGTCTGCTAGATGCTTTTCTCATTTAACACAATAATGGGTTTAAATGATCTTTTGATGGTAATTTCTGAGCCAAATTTGATATGTGATTAATTAGTGATTAATTCGTTTAATTAATCGCCACATCATGTAATTAATTAGATTACACATTTTAATCAAATGACAGCCCTAATATATATATATATATATATATATAATTATTATTAATATTATATATATTGCCTTACCCTATTTATATGTGTTACAAGACTGAAAAGCTAAAGGTGAAGTTTTTCTTTGATGTTTTTCTGCAGAAGTGGCAACAAACGTTCAAACCAAGAAACTTCAAAAGAGTGTAACTAATTCCCCTTGCTATTCGAGTGACTTTAGACTTGTGTCTCAAAGCATTTGGTTAGTGTGCATTAAGATAGTAGCTGTAAACGTCTGCGGGGTCATGGGTTACCCATTCCACAGCGTTACGCTTCAGTGGAGTACTCTGGTATACAAGCATTACCTCTCTCAGACACTCACACACAGATGGAGGCAGGAATCACTAACCCCTCGCCTGTCCTATTGCCCCTGTCCTATTAACCTCGTTCCTCTCTCTCGCTCTCCCCCTCGGACTGTAGCCTTCAGCGTATAAATACATTGAGTTTTTATACATGTGATGCATTAGTCTTGTGGTATGTGGCCTAGACTGACCAGCTCACTGCCCTACAGTTTACCACAGTTGCTTAAGCACTTACATGTGAAAGGAAGAAACTAGCAAGCAAGAATGAAAAAGGAAGTAAAAAATGGAAAAAAGAAAGAAAATTCTAAATGGATGCCAAAGCAATGCTATCTATCTATCTATCTATCTATCTATCTATCTATCTATCTATCTTTATTTATTTATTTTAGTTACTTTACATTTTATTTTGTTGTTTGTGAGGTTTGAGGGATTGCTGAACTTGATTTATACTGAAAAACAAGAAAGAAAGAAAGAAAGAAAAACAAAGTTTCAGAATAATAATGGACAAAAAGAATAAACCCAAGATTAGCAACAGCTCCAAAATATTGCATAAAAACTAGGCCTGGGCGATAAAATGGTATCGATATTTATCGATGGTACACCTTCATCGATAACGATAGAAAAAATGTTTGATATAGCGCACAATAGGGCTGTGCGATATTGAATAAAAATGCGATATGCGATAACTCATTAAATAATGCAATATTTGATATGCGATACGATAATGCTTAAAGGTCCCCTGAAATGCTTAGAAACACGCAGCGTTAATCTATGTGTTGGCGTCATTTTAATTGAAACAGGAAGACAGGACGGGACATATCAAGCAGCCCCGCCCCTTTTTAAAATAGCCAATTTCCTCAATGGAAAGCATATTTACACTGTTTGAATCGTTCCCTGTCCCCTATATAGTGCACTACGTGCCATTCACTGTACTGAAAATACTAATTCTGTGGACAAGTGACCGATTTCATCCGCAGCTTCAGCGTTTATTTTATAGTGTAGGGGGCGGACGCTTCGGATTCTAGAGAGCATTTGATTGGACAGAAAGTTTGATGAGAAGCTGAAGTACGATGTGACGTCAAAAAAAATCGTTGAGCCGTTTTGGTGGAAGTGACGAACTGCAAGCTTTGAATGCTTATATCTTCTAAATGCAAATTTTGTCACTGTTTTGGAGCACACTGCCTTATAGATAACCTTAAGACTAACATATTGATACTAACACCCAAAAAAACTTTAATTTTGATTTCATGGGGACTTTAAAGTGCCACAAGCTCAGATGAAACGGTTTTACTCAGCTGTTGCTGAGTCAGTTCTGTGAACTTCTTTAACTATCTTGTGTCATATATATATGGTTATTTGTATGTATGTATGTACCAAGAGTTCCTGTAAAACCACAACAAATTCCTTGTGTTTGCGCATACTTAAGTGGTGAATAAAGCTCATTCTGATTCTGATTCTAATAAGAAAGCACCCCTACAACAACTTCTGAAAGTGAACGGTAGTGTTTTACTCGAGCATTACAAAAAAATTTCATTTTAACATTAGTGTAATCATTTTAACATGAGTTTAGGAACTGAATAAAAAAAGGAAAAATAAAACACTACTTAGAATTTACTCTTTGAATTCAATATGCACTGATTCTTATTTAAGCTACAAAAGTTATTTAGGTAAGAGCAGAGATTGATTTTTCTTTGTCTTTTGTTCATGGCCCCAAATATTGCAAGCTGTAGCGATATGCATATTGCGATATGTACATTTGTGATATTTCGATAACTTCGATATATTGCACAGCCCTAGCGAACGATATTGGCACGTGCTTTGAGTGACGCAGACAGCACACACAAACACGAACATGAGTGCTGTGCCTGCTTGTGATGAGGAGATTGTGAGTAAAAAAAAATTCTATTAGTCAAATTTAAAATAAACATTTGCATTTGAATGCAAAAATGGTACAATCGAATGTTAGGTGTGCATCAGGGAGTGTCATCAGTGGCGTGTGAGATACGGTGATGATGATGTAAGTGACGTTGTTGCATTGTTAGTCTAGCCCACAAGACGCGCCATTGCTGCATTATTCGTTCAAAATATTAGAGAAATATAGTAGCTCAGTGCGTAGAAGATCTTGATTAGGTTAAAACCGAAACCAAGCCATTCCAACAGAACGCATATTCAGCACATTTTTAGACAGACAAATATGACTGCTGCACTCTCGTCTCATGCAAGAGATGCAAAGAAAGTCATGCAAAGTTAAACCAGTTTTAACGTTTAGAAAATGCGACGCGAATTTGTGAAGGTTTATTTCATTTCACTGCATCTCATATGTTTTTAAATGCAATTTGTGTGATCGGCGATTTGGCTCTTTGTATTAGGCTAAGTAATGTGTAAAGGTTATAAAAAATGTCGATAATTATTGATACCGAACGATATGAAACATATATCGTTGATACATTTTTATCTATATCACCCAGCCCTAAAAAAAAACACCACATAAATCTGTAAAACTACAAAAATTCAAGAGCAAAATATCAAGAGCCCAAAAAGGTACATTAAAATAAGCCGAAACCACCAATAAAATCAAGAAGTTTCTATTTCTCCACTATTCTTCTTGTTACAATCTTGAAAAAAAAAA